AAACATGTCCAGCTAGGTAATCTATATTACTAATGGCAGGATTCTGGTGCAAAGACAGTCTCATTAAACCTACACTGAGCTCACAGAACACATCTGGTCATTAGCAATCCAGATGAGTTTTACAACACAGTCTGCTATGTAATAAAAGATACCAAAAGATACCATCTGAGAGATGCAAGAGAAGATCCAAAATCAAGATTGTAACTGTGAGTTATCGTTTCCAAAGATGAAATGATTCTGAAGACCCCCAAAAGCAAATCATACCTCACTGAATTACAGGGCAGAGAATGGGAAGAAACATTCATAGATCGTAAGTTTTACTGTGTAGTTTCTCAATTACTATTGTCTGCAAGTTCCTCTTCCACAACAAACCACAGAGTACCATGAAGAACCATCCCGCAAAAAGAAAATTTCTGTGCTTATTCTGCACATCAAATAATGAATTAGAAAATCTGCTACACAGGTATCCTCATGCTCTTAGGTTTAGCAATATTATGTTCTTGTCCAAAGTATCACAGAATTAGTATATGGAACAGGACAAGAATAACTGAAATTAAAGAAGTCTACAAGCAGGCAGTTTCAAAAAGTACCATCACTGACTTTATCACCTCATGTAGTACCAGCAACTAATCTTACTGCCAACATCAGACCTCTTAAAAATAAAGGCTATCTGCATCTGTCCTAATCCAACAGCTTGCAGAAACAAACCTGCACATACTCTTGACTATACTTCAAATCTTTTCAGTGCTCAACCATCTGTTTCTCACTAATTCATACATCATATATCCAACACTCCTAAGTGTTTTCATAGAAATCTCTATAGATTTTCCTTACATACAATCCAGCAAGTATCAATTCCCAACACCCAATTCCAACTCCAAATAGAAATGCTAAGGTTGTATCACAGATCAACACTTGATTTTTCCATTGTCTGAGTTTCACTGAAATCTAAACTGTTAAAGGACAGAAGCCACTTTGGATTAATGAAGTGACTATAGCTCACCTTCCAAGATGACTCATTCCAGTACTTTGTTCAGTTTCAATACTGTGCTCCAAAATCAGAAATTTCAGTTTTCAAATGGCTATTTGGAGTGCTTTCCCACATTAACTTCCTTCCGCTGTTCTTTTTAATAATATCTATTAGTTACCCCATCAGGTAACACCAGTTTTATTCAAATGCATGACATGCTAAACAGTTACCAGTACAGGTTTGAGGTTTATAGCATGTATTTTGCTCTACCATTACTCATAGCCAGAGACAATAAGTATTTCCCTCTTTGGATCAAATGACAGATTATTCCAATATCCCCTCTTACTGGCCATTTTAAGGAAACAAAGACAGAAAATACTGAATAGTTATGAAATAACTTATTGGAGATATTTCCAACACTTAATTAAGGCTGGTTTATGCTTAGAGACCTATGAAATTCTTGCTGTTGGAAGAATTCACATCAAGCATGAGAATATGCAACCCCTTTTAGAATCCTCCTATAGGTTACACGGACTCAGTGGCACCTTGTTGTTAAATCAGGGTTAAACGATTTTCTTTCATCTTTTGAAATACCTTCCTTTACAGTCTGATTGACATTTTTGTTCCTGTGTTCTGAAATAGTTAAGAGAAAACTCAAAATGTTTGATTCAACTGACACACCTCTGAACTCTAAATTAAAGCATGAGTAGGCCCACAGGCTACATTTTAAAGCTTCAGGTACTATTTCAGGTTAATGGGGAATGGTACATCTGCTTCTTCTAAGGTAAAAAAAAAGTCAAACGAACCCTGCAACACAGTCTACACAGTACTGCAGATTCATTTTTAAATCCTTAAAAAAATGAAAGCCAAATTCCTCGTATTAATTTTTCTTCAAAAAATGGAAAAGTTAATACAAAACAGTATATACTGTTGTCATATTTTGAATTTTGCAAATTATTTGTAAAGACTTTTATATAAAGATTGAATTTGACCTACTTCAACAAATGTAACTTTCTCATTCATATAACTATTACACGAAGAACAAAAACCATTTAATACAGCTAGTATTAAAAGCAAGATGAAGTAACGGTCTCACTATGTCTAGACTTTCAAGACAGAATTGAGAAGTTTTAATACTGCAAGAATTACTTATATCTGTTTGGCCAAAATGAACAAAAACCTGGTTTTGATTTTGGATGAAGTGGGTAATAATTTTATCTCCCCATTCTTGTAATTGCAGATGTGGTAAGAGCAAAAGACACTAGTAAATTAAGGGTCTGTGTTCACCCATATATTTCAAAGTCTATGAAATTCAAAAAAACCCAGTTTCAAATTTTGGCCATCTGTCACTAAATCAATAGAAATAAACATTGAGCAGTAAAAATAAAAAACTTACTCAGATACTTGTTCAGCAGCTGGGATATCTACAGAAACTGAAAATAAAAATAAAGGATTTAATTAAAAATATTTTAAAATGTGGAAATACAGAAGTACTCATTTTCAAATCCAACTACACAGAAATAATTATAATGCAACTGAAGAAAGGACTGCAATAACACAGAGATAGCCACATCTAAGTATTTATATGTGTATACTATATAAAAAAAGACATTTTATGTGCTCACCTTTCTCTATAATAACTTGACAAGTATGAGTGTGGCTTTCACTCAGATGTGTGGCCATGCTATCCAAGCCAGAAACATCCGTCAAGAAATCACAGTTAAGACATACTACAGTCACACCTCTAGAGAAGAGAAAGTAAAAAGAAGTATAAATACAGCATGGTTGTAAAAATAATTTTCTTAACTTACATCAACTGGACAGGCTAGATAAAAGAAAATACTTCCTCCAGCATTAGATGAGATGACTCTCAAAAACCTATTCTTACTTTTTATACTGCAGCTAGTACTTGGAAATCCCAATCAATGACCAGGGCATCTCCATGCTGGATGTAGTGCAAAGAACACCACTTCAGACAAATTTATCTGTAAAAAGCATGAGTTTCTCAATTTTGGTTGGTTCTTTGTTGTTTCCCTTCTCACCCCCCATTTTGCACATTATGAATAACTGGAAAATAAAGAAAAAGAAATATTTTTTTAAACTGCTCAGGGTTAAGAAAAGTTAATAAATGTGGTCAATTAACAAGTTTTTGTCACTGAACAGAACACTGCTAGTGGAAGAGCTAATGTTCTTATTTCCTTGCTCCTTCTTAAATTGTGGAAGCTCAGAAATTCAAAAGGCTCTAATCTCATTTAACTGATCAGTTCACTATCTAAGTAAAAACATACTGATCTGTAACTGAACAAAGCAGAATTACCGTAGCTCTTCTGAATGCTTCTTATAGATCCAAAATCTTTTACTTGGACGAGCACTGTGAAAACTAAATATAAGAAAACATTACCACTTAGGCTGGTTTTCCTGAGTACATTCCTCCACATATCCCCTGCACTGCACATGGTACTGCAATTTGCTTACGGCAAGGCATGAAATAGAAGGCTTAATTACTGACCTACTCTATTCTAAAACAATTACATTGCTGAAAGCTTACAGGCTTGTAAATCTTAGCCTAGCAGTCTCGCAAATAATGAGTTTGGGAGGGGCAAGGTTTAACTTCATCCCCACAGTCCTGCAAGAACATAGTTACATTGCTTCCATCAGCAGTTTAGCTCTTGAAACATGGCTGTAGCTGCACAGTGCTCCATAAAAGTGAAGCGTTGCTGAACTCACACTTCCTAAAGATATGACTTTAAATGAGACAAATCACATTTTCAGACAACCTGTAAGTTATCTCATATGCAGGTTAAGTATGTGCCAACACTGTACTCCCACATGAAACAAAAAGCAAGCAGCTGAGTACAGGGTCTGCTACTGCAGAAATATCCTCCCTCTGACAGCCTTCCTCATCACCATCCCTTGTTCCTTAAACTCACCAAACAAGGTGATGATAGACACTATGAGGGGTCAAAGTAGGGAGAGCATTATTGTGTCAAGAAGACAAAGGAGACAAAGCTATTGTGCTACATGGTTGAATTTGGTAACACCCAGAACATGGGCAACAGTAGGAACAGTTTTATCTTAGATTCCCTTCTCCTCTTCTGGAGTGAACTTTCTCTTCTATAGTTCAAATGAAGCACATTAATTTTTATTCTTTTCTTATGCCTGCAACCAACAGGTCATATGGATAAAAGCATGTAAGCTATTTCAGTCTATGACTTACATGAGCATTGAAATTAATATTAATAGATCAACATATAAAATATAAACAAAAACTTGTACAGATATGCGTCATAAATTAAAGAATTCTAGCATCCAAAGATGCCAAGGCATTTTACACATATTTTAAAAGAGACCTGCATTCTGTTTTCTTCTGCAATACATCTGGCTTGTTTAGGGCACAGGATTAACATGCAGGTTTTCAAAATTTTGTTCTACCTTCATTGTTGCATGATCTGTGTTTAATTATTGAATAGTAAAATCCCATTGTTCTGAAAAGTAACTAATTCATTTTCTTAAGTTTTTTACAGCTGTCATCACTGTTACCCTATACTGCCTCACAATCAAACCGTCTGCAAAAATGAATGTTATTTTTTCAGATGACCAGGAGTAATATATTAAGAAGCATCCACTTGAGTATGCTATTTGAGACATCCTGTACATGGTATTCCCAGCACAGATTTCATTAGCAGTAGCTGTGCCTCTATGCATTGAGCACTCGTAAAAACAGATGAGGTATTCAATCTGAAACCCAGTGAATATGCAGCAATTAGTCATTATTGGTTAAGTTTGGCTAAAGTAAGTATGGAAGATCCCAGAGCAACTCCAAAGTAAAGACAGAACACTTCCTGAATTATTGGCAGAACATGAACACAGGGTTTAAGCCCTCATTATTTAGTAAAAAAATCCACCTTTACCCATTTCTCTGACTGTCCTTGGACCCAGTTAAAAATTCAGCTAATAGAAACACCTAACACATCTTATATAAATTCAGGAAGTACTTGATAACCCAGTAAAAGTTTTTAAGAGTTCTTACCTCATCATGTGATTCACATAGGCTTTGCTACAGCTAGTATTGTATCTGCATAAGCTACAGTGGACATAAGCAGGAAAATGGCTTGCAAAATCTTTTATTTGTGAGTAACACTCAATGCATTTGTGAGCTCCCAAACGACACCTAACAGCAATATGAAAAAGTTAACAGTTAATATCAACACTGTAAGACAAGATAACTGTTTTAAAGTTTTTGCTTGAAGTCAGTAGCAAGCTTACCTATGTTAGGGAAAAAAAATAGGAACTTAAAAATGTAACAGTGAGTGTTAGCACCTTACTGTAAGGAAGACATCTACAATCTTTGATGAAGAAAACTCCTAACTTATCTTGGCCAATGAAATTACATTCTAGTCCATAAAACACGCATTGAACTATAAAAATAAGAATAGCAAACCCCAGTAAATTATAAATATAAGGAGAGCATGCTCTTAACAGCTTGCTATTAACTTTCTTGGGTTTTTTTTGGTAGCTCACCAAATTAAGGTGTCTCCCAGGACAGACAAGACTCAACCTTATAAATTAATGGGTTCAAATAAAACCCTTAAAAAAATAAGGGAGGAAAATCCTTTCACCTCCATAATAAAATGCACAAAGAACACCCAGGCAGACGTGTACTCTCCCACAGGTCTCTTTATAACATAAACCTACCTAATGAGTCTGTATTTCAAGAGTCTTTGGCTCTGTGCAGAGAAAAACTCTAAATTTAGAACAGAAAAGTTTCCAGAACAGCTGTTCTTTCATCATCAAGTAGTCTACCACCAACAAATGTGGTGAGTGAAGATTAAGAATTACAGTACTTTTATGTGGCAAGTTTATGCACCCACTTATTCTGCAAAACTGAAGTGTCAAATCTTCTGTATTGCAGTATGAGAAGTTATTGAAAGATAATTAATAAAATTCAAAGTATGAAGATATTTTAGTGCTAATATTTTACCTTAGATTATGCAATGCTGTATTTGCAATTTCTTTTTTTTTTTTGCTGTTGGTGCACACATTTTGCTTCTTCGATGCAGTTGATTTTGATTTTGCTTTTGATCTACTTGTATTAGATCTGTTATGATTTTTAGTGGCTGTATTTCTAGCTTTAGGTGATAACTGAAACGTGGAAGTGCTTGTACTAACAGAAGATGTTGCTGATGATCCTGAATGAAGAGATCCAATAGATGCTCGAATAGTCACCTACAGGTATGAAATAAAAAAAAATTCTATTTAAATTTAAGCTTTTAAAGTTCTAAATTCTATTTGTCTCAAAGTTTAAGCCACTTAGGATAAAAATCACAGCATATGAAACACCCCTCAGTAAAGACTGCTTTGAAAAATATGCAATACTGTGGACAAGAGTAAAGTTAACCTCAATGGTCTACTGGATGCTTAAAAAGCTCTTGTTCTGGTGGAAACAGCCATGACAAAGCAAAACTGCTCTCTTTTCAGACCTGTAACTGGCTACATCCTGCTATCTTAAAACAAAAAATGTAGATGTGGAAAGGAAAGAAAAAGGTCAGGTCAATTAGTCCTATGAAGAATAATTCCAAACATACCATTAGTGCCTGGATTTCACAAAAGCCCTGTGTCTTGTTGCCTCATGATTAGCCATTTTTCCTCCTCATCCTAAAGCCCTCCAAGGACCAATTCTGGTCTCTGAACTCTTATCTGGTATTATTGCGCTCCCTTGTCTTGGCCTTAAATTTGGTTCTCCAGTTTTCACTCACAGCTTGACTCCTAATTTTAACTTCTTGCCCATGCTCATAGTTTAGAAGCACGTCATCTTCTGAACCCGATTCCAAGCTCTTCACTCTCATCATCTACATCCTGTCAAGGTCTACTAAAAGCAAAATTTTAACATAATCTAAGCTTTTATTGGACCATAAAGAACCTGAAGTCTTTCGAAAAATGGATTATTGTCCCATAATAGAAAATTAGTGCTTTACATTCTGCCAAGCAACATAATCAACGTAAATTTCAGTCATTTTCCCTTCCTGATTCTACAGCAAACAAATTGCAGCTGATCAAAATGTTCAATTTTCTTCTCCCTTTTAACTGAAAGGACATAAATCTTCATACTTCATTAGAACACCTTAGTAAAAAGTTCTGAAATCCACAGCAAAAAAACTTCTTGAGAAATGGAAAAATGATTTAAAAAGAGCCTAAGTGTTCTGAGGAGACCTAAGTCTACCTCATAAAACAGCAGAAAATGGCAACCTTTCCCCCCCCCCTTCAAATGCTGGGGCTAAATATGACACAGAGAACTCAACTTTTAAGCACATATTGTCCATGGAGAAGTACGTCTTGCACTCTGCATGATTTATTTTTTTTTTGCCACCACCTTCTACAAGTTGAACAACTTTTACAGGAAATGATGCAGATACCTCAGTCTATAATTCAGACTATGTCCTTTTCTCCTAGCACAAGAAACGATCAGTGGGGCAAATTAACCAAAAGCTCAATAAAGCAGCAGCACTGACTGAACAACTGGCATATACAGGAATGGGACAGATCACCAGGAAGAAATCATAGGCTGTGCATGGCAATTTTTGCAACAGGAATATTTTTAGAGTTTTAGAGGTGGCAAAAAAACCCCACTTTGCTTTGGAAAAGAACAGAGGAAAGCAGTTAATTCTATTCCACTCCTTTCTTTATCAATGCATTTCCTTCCTTTGCCCCTTTTAATTTTCCTGTATGAACAATTACCTTTGTTCCAGGAGGCAATCCTTCTAACTGCTTGGGTTTCCTAAATGTTCGGTGATGCTGAGTCTTGTGATCCATTTTTTCTTTGCATGTCAAAAATTGCAGTCTGCACTTAGTGCAACGGTATATGCCTTTTTTCTTTTAAAAATAGAAGACAATCTACAGTAAGCATGAATGTCATGATAAATAAATATCCAACCCTAGCTTGTCTCAAGAAATAGTCATCCAGTTTCTAAAACACTGACAGGACAAACTCCTAATATTGTACAAAGCAAAGATACTGTGTAGGAATTTAAGAGAGAAAATTTAAATACTTGAAAATACAAGGCAGCATCATTACTAAAAGGAGGAATCAGGCTATTAGCTAAAAGACAACACAGTACTTCATAATCTTCTCTTCTACTTGAACTACTGAAAGACTTGCTACTAACCTCAAGAAAAACAGAACATATCACTGTAACTCAATGAAAAATTAAATAGCAGATAGTACTTCAATAATATTCCACAATTTTATTTAAAGAGGGAGCTGCTGTCAAACAAAAAGATGGCAGTCTAATAATTCCTTAAGTAAAGCCTTTTCAAAAGAAGCAGTTATCGTTTTTCTACCATATCTTTTAACTATTCTTACCCAGTAACAGCCATACAAATCAGCAAAGGTTTGTTTTTTTTTCTGAGAGATTAATGACATATATTTATCATGATTTTATCATTAATGCTTGAAAGTATCTGCTTACCTGATGCCTCATGTAATGATGCATATATGGTGCTCCGATTTTAATTACTTTGAGGCAAAATGGGCATAGCAAATGCTTTGTGTTTTCATGAACTGTTCTAAAATGTGTTTCTACATCAGAAAAAGCTGAGGACCTGTAGTTGCACACCTAAAACAAAAATTTGACTTTCTTGTTAAATGTTCATGGACAGTAAAGACTGGAGGTGGTGTAATCTAAGTACAAAACAGTCACTCAGAGATACCTGGCAAACATACGGCATTTCACCTGGCTTATGATTGTCCTTCATATGTTGCAAAAGAACTTGCTCAGTTTCAAAGGATAATTCACATATTTTACAAATTGCTAGAAAAAGGGAAAAACAAGAAAACAGTAAAAATTCCTTTGGGGTCATAAGTAGATAAATTATAATACACACACTTATGTGGACTATAGAAATACATAAAGTCAAAGCAATCTAATGATTTTTCTATTCTTCAGAAGAAATGCCCTGTACAACTTCAGGAAGCCAGAAGTGCAAGGCTCTTGGCATGAATTCTTGCATTCAAGCTTTCAATATAAAACAAAAAGCTTTAAAAACTTATTTCCACACACATTACTCTAACATAAACTGAAAGAGTGCTCAGTGCTATATTAAACCTTAAGATTATTACTCTCAAGTACAATAGCTTTAAGTCTGAAGTTACAAACCAGCAAACTAGAAGTTGAAAAACATCTAAAAATTTTAGCTCACAAAAAGACTGAATGTGATACAATCCAACTTACTAGATGACTCGTAAGGCGTGTGTGTGCTTTCAATGTGGCACTGCAGCTGGAATGGGGTGGGAAACTGGCGGTAACAGTGCTGGCAGGTTGTGTGGCTTTCCCAACTTTCACTGCTCTGCTTCTCAAGCTCCAAGTGATGTTTCATGTGGTTCATAAACCTTTACATGACAGTAAACAAGTGCAAAAAGGTTAACATTCACTGTACATGACATGGTAGAGTTTAGTATTTGATAAGGAAGAAGCAAGGAGTAGCCAGCATGGGTTTACTAAGGGTAAATTACGTTTGACTAATCTGCTAGCCTTTTATGATGATGTGAGTGAATGGGTAGATGCAGGGAGACCAGTGGATAGTATCTACATTGACCTTAGCAAGGCTTTTGACACTGTCTCCCATAACACCCTTGCGAGCAAGCTCAGGAAGTTGCGGGTAGAAGAATGGACAGTGAAATGGATTAAGAACCGGCTACACAATATAGCGCAGAGGGTGGTGATCAATGGTGCAGACCAGGGCCAGACTTGTAACTAGTGGAGTTCCCCAGGGATCAGTGCTGGGTCCAGTCCTGTTCAACATCTTCATTAATGACCTGGATGAGGGGACAGAGTGTAACCTCAGCAAGTTTGCTGACAATATGAAGTTGGAGGATTGGCTGAAACACCTGAAGGCTGTGCAGCTGTTCAGCAAGATCTAGACAGGCTGGAGAGGTGGGCAAAGAGGAACCTAATGAGGTTCAACAAGAGTAAGTGCAGAGTCCTGCACCTGGGGAGGAGTAACAACATGCTCCAGTACAGATTAGGAGCCAACCTGCTAGAAAGCAGCTCTGTGGAGGACTCTGGTGTCCTGGAGGACAATATGTTACCCATGGGTCAGCTATGTGCCCTTGTGGCCAAGGTCAATGGTATCCTGGGGTGCAGTAAGAAGAGCATGTCCAACAGGTTGAGCGAGGGTCTCCTCCTCATCTACTCTGTCCTTCTGAGACCACACCTGGAGTATCGTGCCCAGTTCTGCACTCCCCAGTTCATGGGGGACAGGAATCTACTTGAGAAAGTCCAATGCAGGCTAGGAGGATGACTTAGGGACTGGAACACTTGTCTTATGAGGAAAGGCTGAGAGACCTGGGGCTAGGAAAGTCTAGTCAAGGGAAGACAAGACTGAGAAGGGATCTCATTAATGTTTACAAATATCTGAGGGGTGGGTGTCAAGGAGGGGTCAATTTATTTTCAGTCATGCCCTGTGACAGGACAAGGGGCAATGGATGCAAACTAGAGCACAGGAAGTTCCATCTCAACATGAGAGAAAACTACTTTACTGTAAAGGTTATGGAGCACTGGAACAGACTGCCCAGAGAGGTTGTGGAGTCTCTTTCTCTGAAGTGCTTCAAGACCCATCTGGATGCGTTTCTGAGACATGCCCTTGGTTCTGTGGTGGTATTGCACTGGCAGGGTGGTTGGACTCGATCTCTAGAAGTCCCTTCCAACCCCTACCATTCTGTAATTCTGTGTATGAAACATTGCATGCAACACATATAGGATTCTTTAGAAACTTTACTCTATAAGGGCCTCTCCATTAACAAAAAAATTTAAGGAATAACTATTAGTTAAAAAAAAATAAATAAAAAAGCAACAAAGTTAAGCAAGCTGACTATGCCAGAAATTATGTTTCAAAGCTTGAAAAGACATTTTCACTATTATATAAGGAACATGTAACACATCACATTTGTTTAGACACAGTTCTTGCCTTGAAATAACGGGAAATCAGCAAAGGCAGCAACAACAAAACATGTTAATCAGCTATTCACACTTGACCAAATTCACATTCTGAACTTTTTAACTTTAGCTCTGCTGAGAACTATTAAGTAGTAAGAACATACCATCAGGACATTATAGCTTAATCTGAAAATACCTCCACTCAAAATTGGCAGGGTTCCAAGAGCTGTCTTTGTATAAAGTATTTAGGACTTAAGTTGAATTACAAAGGACAGTTATCAAAGAATGCCACTGTGCAGCTGACAATCAAACGAGCAGGAAAAACTTGGTGGTGTGCTTCCATTTCAGCTACCACTTATTCCTCATTAATATGCCCACCTATCTGTAGTAGGAACCTATTCTGGCTGAGAAGTCTAGGCATCCACGACAACAGTGAAGGGTCACAGTTACTGGTGGAACAGCACAAGAATAGGTCAGTTGCACAACCCACTAAAATTAAACTGCAAAAACTGTTCTATTTTGAATGTGCTTCATTTCAGTACAACTAGAGCAGCTATTAAACGTCGGTCACAGTCACAAGAGCAACGTAATGCTCTAAGCAGTGACCTTGGAAAAAACAAATGAGCAAGAATACTGTCTCGAGCTCAAGCTTCTAATATAATGAACTGCTTACAAAAAGAAAAGGGAAAAAAGCTAACAAAAGATATCCAGGTACATAAACAGAAGAAAGGAACTGACACTAGCACTGAACTAAGATTTAGAAAAGTTCAACTGTAAACTCTGGATTTATTTTGCCCCCTATAAATAGTTAAGGGTATAAAATACAACTTGGAATAAAAATTCTGAAGTTACAGAACCACGCACTACAGAGAAAGTTACAGCAAAAATTAGTATGGCTGCAAGTTGACTTGAGAAATTCAAGGAAAAGAATTAATGCTGCTTTTTAATAACTTGCAGTGGAACACACAGGCACCACAGCACCTGTAATTTACACATATAATACTGAGCAGAAAACAGTGCCTGAAAAATATATTTCTTAAATGAACCCAGATATCTTAATAAAGTATTATTTCTGGGGACCACTTTTCACGCTATTGCACGAAAAACTTACTTGAAAAGTATTATGTATTAAAAAAAAACAGAAGAAAAACCTCTCAGCCCTATCCAACATTGTCTACTGCTTTTAAAAAGATAAACTGCCATGCCATAACTAACAGAAACTACAAAATCATGACAGTAAACTCTTTTCAAGTCTAACACACATTTTCAAGCTGCTAAAGATAAATTACCAGCACTTTTACTTAGGATTTACACATACTTCAGGGTTAATGGCAAATTCAATGTTTGTTATTACATGAAACTTAAGTTTTGTTCAATAATGTGGGTCTAATGTTAGCATAAATCTGTTCATTTAACCTGCAGACTGTGCCCTTTGAAGGAACAGTCCATTTCAGTTTTACATTCTGCTACTTCAGCTTCTTTTGAAGAATGCATATAAAGAAGTTCTATGACCTCAGCTTCCAAAAGAATAACGACATAAGCTTGTCTACCTATTAAAACAAACTACTGAAGTTTTTTGCAGCATTTGGAAGCGTAATTATTCCATTAAAATAACAGATGTTATGTAAGTAAACCACCAACTATTAGTCGTTTTGCGTCCTTAAAGGGAATTAACACTTGCATCTGATACTACCAATCCAGATGGCAATTTGTATAATACTTTGTGTTGCCCTTTCTAACCCTGAAGTCCTAGAACAGTTATCATTAAAACTGTACTGTTTGTGTTAGACACCATCAAAACCTGTACTCTTATCTGTAAAATGTCTAAGTAATGGCCATACACACATAATAAAAATTAATTACATTTCTGCTCAGTCACCCAATATTATCAGTTTTCAATAGGAAAAAAAAATCTATTCCAGAGACAAATGTTTAATGCATGAGACTAAGTCTTATGGGCTGTAAGTCATTACCAAACAATTAAGGAAGTGAATTCAAATACCTTATATTATTTTTAAGAACTTTCAGACAACTGAAGCACTTAAATGTTGTATGAGTCTTCTGCTCCTGTTGTACCTGCTGGGTGTCACCTTCATGCTTCCCATAATAAAAGTCGTTAACTAACATAATCAATTTTCCTTTCTCAGATTCAGCAATCTTGCTTGTACTTGAACATTCTGTTTTGGCCACAGCTGGGAAAAGATTATTCACCATATCTGGACAACAATACTGGATGGAAAGAGGGAGGAGAAAAGACAGACAGAGACAAAGGTGTTAGTCTCTAAACGAACTGCATCGACAACAGCAGCATTTTAGAAATGATTGCCACTCACCATCTAGAGCTAGACACAAATGTCAAGTCTCTGACACATCAATTTGATCCATATTCACATATAGATCTTGAAAAGGAACTTAGAGATAAGTAGTGTTTAGGTAATAAAACATTACGTATTCTAAAAACTGAAAATTAATTATTCTTAAAGGTTCATGTAACAAATTTAGGCTAGAAATCAGAATACCTGTGTGGCCTGACTCATTAGAAAAATGTCTACTTAATTTATATTTAGTAAGGAGAAAGAGAAAAGCAGCTTTTATGCAAGTATTTTGCTGACAGTTATGAGTTTACTGAGAAATTATTGTAAAGTTTTATTTTATTTCTTTTGAGGGGACATATGTTGAAACCTGCAAAAGTTCTTTGCAGCATTACTGAAAAATTAAGAAATTTTAAGTTACACACACTATTCAAGCTTCCTTAAGTCACAGTGTACATAATGTTTAACTCAATAGCTACCCTGTGAAACTTAAGCTTAAAAAGTATTAAGTACAAAAGATGCTATGAAGTTTCCAACAGTGAACAAAATCAAAATGCTTCAGAGGACAGTTCTTTCTCCTGCTGAATAATGTGCAGGAATATATTCTGTAAGTCTAGAAGTAAGGAGCCAATTCCCTACTGTTGAAGTGTAACTTGGTATAAATTTTAACAAAAAAATTAATTAAATAATACTAAGTAAACCCGCTTCTTCAATGATTCTTTCATTTGGTTGGTACTCAGTGCAAAAGCTATTCTCTGCAGATAATTATTACAGAAAGATAAAACCCTTGATTTTTTTTTCCACCATTATGTATATTTCTTAATTGTATTTGGAAGCTGAAGAGGACAGCAGCTACTATTTAGAGTATCTTACACCCAGTAAATTAGAACGATCTGTGTTAACACAAACTCAGAGTCTCACAGATTTCTATTACAGTAATCCATACTCATTTTTGCATGGGTTATTTACATTATATACAGAGTGCAAAGCCATTTCTCTGTCCCCTGAAATGGAATTCACATGCCTGAGAACTGCATGAATCTTCACCAAATAATAATCTTTTCCTGGAAACATGGTTCCAGAAAAAACAGCAAGTAGTCTCAAAAGCATGCTAAGTGATTATTTAGTTTCTGAAAGCTTTGTTTCTCAGTGTTTGTGGATGAACTACAAATTAAGTTTTTCCCCCCAGCTTAAAAACATTTTTAGCTACCAAGTGATACATCCAGATAAAAAGGGATGTCTTAGTAACAAACACAGGTCAACTGGCTGCTATTATCATAAGCCCTTACCTTCATCAAATTCACCTAAATCTGGCTGATGGTTAAAGAAGTCACAGCTGTGGCAAAGAAAAATCATACCAAGACAGCAAACATGCTACAGTTCATTTGAAAAATAAGGCAAAAAGTGGCAAAATTTAGAGCTCGCTACTGCATTCTTCCCTTCTGTAACTGAAAGATATTGAGCATTTGGGCTTCAGCTGATCACAGCCAGAAGCTAGACTATCTTCATATCAAAACACAGCACCCTTTCACAACCACAACAGAAGCCCACATATGTTTGTTGTAATGTTTACCAACCCCAAAATATTTTACCTTCATATGATTTTTTAGAGGATCCATCAGATTGAAATGAATATTGCACTTTGGACAAGCTCGTGGATAAGGTCCTCCATTTTTAATGGTGTTTGATGCAACATTTGTATCTGTAAAATTTAAAATATGTTAAGATTCAGAATTCAAGCAGAACACTCTATTATTATAGCAAAATTTGCTACTTCAAATGAAAATTATTACAATTGATGTAGCTGTAGTAACCATAAGGTTTTACAACTGTCTTTCAACTACCCTTTTCTCCAAACTGAGCTTAAGTTTGTTCCATTTGATACAGACCCATAAAGAACTTCTACAAAGTTTGAGAAATAATGAAAAAAAGGAAGGGGGTTGAAGGCAGGATAACAGAAACAAAGCATTAATTCTGTGCCCCACCAACCCTGGATCAGATGGATTTTTTAAATGGTTTTAAGAACTATAATTCTCAAATTAACATTGTTTTATGCTATGACCTGATCATTATCACAATAGGGTTCAGATAATTGGTTTTAGAAAGAAATTTCAACATCTAGTTCTCAATGACAAGAATATTTCTGGACACTTGTTGGAGCTTAGGTCTAATCAGATTCATCATTCCTGTTGAGCAAAGGTGTCTTTGGAGAACATAGAGAATAAATCCTCTAAATAATTACTTCCCATAATGAAAAGAAATAGTATTTCTCTTATCAGCATAAAATACTGAATACCTTTCAAGCAAACAAAAAATGCTTTGCATTAGCTTAAACTTAAATGAATAAACCCACAGGCTTCCAGCTTTCTCCAACTGTCAAAACCCATCAGAGCCAGAGCTACTTTTCCAAAGTCATTCACAGATCTGGGAGACTCCATGCTAAGTAGTTCAGAAGAACAGTTAAACACACGAGAGGAATTTTAAGTTACATCTTAACTGTAGAGTCAGCTGTACCCTGCCAGGGCTATGAAAAAATGTAACAAAAACAAACACACAAATATACATCCACCTTATAAAAAGGGAATGAGTAAGCATATGATTTAAGAGAGGATCATGTAACAGTGTTACACAGTTTTTCACAACAATAGTCTAACACAGTCCAGGAACTCAAACAAGTCCAGGCTCAAACAGTATTTCTCCTTGAAGATAACCGTATTGCTAGGAACTGTAATTAAGCAGAAAGTCCTACACGAGTGGATGGTCATGCAAGAGATGTACAAGACAGTGCTTTAAGTCTTCACTATTACAGTTTGTTAAACATTTTGACACATCACAGCTCAGTGCCATCAGAGTTGGAGGAAAACAGGTTGTGCAGCAACATCTTGTGTTCTGTGGTGCTGGATTCTGTGACAGATTAGAAATTGCTATGCTAGCATAGGACAGCTTGGAGACAAACTCATTAAAATAAGGTTCTCAATGAACATGATCTACTCCTTTGTTACTACATTTAGTAAGAACCTCCAGTGTACCATACACTGCAGCACAGCATCTGTTTCACCCAACGGAGGGCTGAGGATAATTTTTTGCCACAATATTCCATGTTATAGCCACTTCCCTCTGAATGCTGGGGAAGAGCCTGATAGCAAACCAGCTGCAAACAAAACAAGCAAAAACCTCATGAAATTACTCTAAGTAACAGAATCACTCAGTAGGTAGCTCCTCATTTTAACATTATAGGAGAGACTATTTCTTTGGAAATACCTCAGAGCCAAGAATAAATCCTCATCTATTACTATCAGTTGGAAAGTACCTTTTGGCTCAGGAGGAAAGTGAATCTAATTATTAATATGCCAAAACAGCGTAACTACCCCTCTTCTTGTAGGGAGGATAAGATCTTGCAAAGGACATCCTCTCTGAAAAGAAAATCCCCCTCCTGCCTTCCCACTATTTTAAACTGTATCAAAAACATTGCTGTGAAAGAAAGGGGAGAACCGCAAAACACACTTTGCAATAGCTAGTTTAAGTACAGAACCACAGAATAATTTAGGTTGAACTTGTGGAGGTGTTTTGTCCAACCTCCCACTCAAAACAAGTCCAACCTCATTGGGATGCTCAGAGCCATGTCCAATCAACTTCCGAGTAACTCCCAAGGACAGAGATTCCACAGTCCTAGTCCTTGCTGCCTAGCCTGACATTCCTACAATATTTTTTTTCTTCCTTTTATCTAATCAGAATTAGTATATAAATGTCCCAGTCCCAGAATTCTTTCAATCTTGATTTTCTGGTTGCTTGGCTTTTTAAAATTTCAACTCTGTTCTTTGAAATAGAAAATCTCAACTAAGAGTATGAGGTCAGGGACATTTATATTTGATTTTCTGTCTTCACAGCCACTAAACAATTAATCGTTGCTTTACAAAATTTAAACATACCTAAAAAAATAAAAATATAAGGATCTAAGATTTGAATAGGGTCTATTAATTTGTAAAGGTATATAAATTCTTGCATAGAAATGTTTTTTTTTATATTTTACAGCCCAAGAACAGAGTTAGTTGATTGCACTGGCTTAATAACTTTAATAATCTCAATCAATTTAAACATTACAAGAGCACGAGCTCTTTCCAAATGCAAGGATTGACAGCTAGACCATTTGATCTACCCCACCTTTTGAAGATACATTTTGTGATGGTGTTAGTGTTGGAGAGTTAACTGTAGGTGAAACAGCTGAATTGCTTCCAGCACCAACCTCATTAGTCTTGGTCTTTGAGAGTTACACTTTTGCCTTCAGAAGTAGCAGGGTGCTTAGATACAAAACTACACTCATCCAGACCTACAGTAGTTTAAATTAACTTCAGCTTTTTTCCCACAGTATACTGTGAACACATTACTGATGACTATATTTTAAAGGATGGACAAACCTATCTAAAGCAGTTATTATTTCCCTAATGTAGTAACTCCTACAGAAGCTAAAAAAACAATATCCAACTCAGACTGAATATTCTAAGGCCAGTGGAAAAAGTTAAATGCAAAGAGATACAGACTCATCCCCAAAACCAAGTAAATCATATCATGAACACCCAAATTTATTTGGCCTATTTTTCACATCTTGACCCACACTAATCTGAGTAAAGATGAGTTCACAGTAATAAAGTTAAGCTAAACAGCTGGTTTTCACAATGTGCACTATTCAGAACCTCTGCTCTTCTGATGAAAAACATACCTTCTTTTTTCTTGTCCTCTGTTAATACTGGTTTAGTTTGTTATTCAACTCTGTAAAACATTTGAGACTTCTAATGACCAACCACAGCACAATTACTTGCTGTCTTCTGAAAGAACAGCTGTTTCACTTATTGTTTGCAGTATTTATTCTAAAAAAAGAAAAGCACTAAAAAGTAAGCTGGAAATTCAGAGGCTTGGGGCCTGATTAACATGCCCATCAATACCTGGTTCCATCTTGTCCTGAAATCTGTCTCTTATCACTGTAAGACTACTCTTGATGATATGATCTCAATACACAGATCGGTCCTCGAGTAGACCTGAAAGAGCACAGCTACATACCAAGTCTGGAGTGCTGGCACAGGCCTTGTATATCTCTCACAATCACAGACTGCAAAAAGCCTTAAGACTATCATAAACCATGATAAAGACCAGACTTCAGTTTCAGACACAATCACCTGAACTAAGCACATTCTTGTATATACCCTTCTTAGTGGTCTAGCTGCTCTAGTGATTTCTTTGGGTGTAATAAGAAAACAAATTAATAATTTTTGAAGCCTTCTCATCAAGCAGAGTAAACCTGCGCCACATAAAATTATTTAAACTTCTTGTGAGAGCAAACAAAACAAGCCCCTCCCACCTCTAAGTTGTGTTTACTCAGTGGTAACTATCTACACCTAGCAAATAGTCTGGATGGTCTTGCCATTTAATCCACAAGAGGCAAAGACTCCCAGCAAGGAATACTAATATTGAAGCATCTTGGAAAATTTAACACACTATGCCTTATATACAGGAAAACAAAATTGACTTGTTATGTATGTATCTTGCAATTCTAACTTCCTCCTTTGTATCACACTCATAGAATCTCAGCGGTTGGAAGAGACCTCAAAAGATCATCTAGTCCAACACCCTGCCAGAGCAGGATCCCCTAGAGTAGGTCACACAGAAACACATCAACCTACAGCAGGAACTGCTGCTGTACAATTAATTATGTGTAGTTGTGTAATGAGGGCCTAGGAAAAGACAGAAGGTCTAATTGATTTTAAAAGAATCTTCAGTATAGTATTTTATTTTACTGTAGAAAACCTGACTTGGAGAAAAAAAGGACTATTTTTACATGTTCATAAAATTGCTAACAATATCAATTTAAAAAAGCCTGACACATCTGTAACAAAAAAATGGATAACTTCTATATATTTATAAAGGTGACCATTCTTAAATTAGTTTGTTTAACTCTGACTGAATAAATTCACTTTCAGAATTACTATAATAATGGTAGGAGAATATACATAGGTTTGCATTTGAATTCTGTCATTGGTTCATTTTAAAAGAAAAACTAGGTCTATTTAAAAAAAATAAAATCAAACCAATTCCAAGTATTATTTAATATCTAGCTGGCATAAGTGAGATTGATCCCTCTTTTAATTGAAGTGCCTCTCTCAGTTGGTGTGTAGACATAAGAATTCCTTGAACCACTCATGATCCAGACTAATTTGTCTAATCCTCTATCCAGCAGACCATGCAGCTGAAACTGTCAGGAACTCCAGGTACACAAATAAGCAAAGGAGCCGCCAAACCATTTTGTTTGGTTTTCAGGCTGCTCAGGAGTCTATGATCTTCACATCATGCTATTACTGAGTACTTTTGTAACTATTTTGTAGCTATTATGAAACAGTTGGCTACACTTACTTGCATCTCCGCTGCCTAGGCCTGATTTTGTGAATGATGGCAAAACACATCAGAAATGGTAACCTGGAATAAAAGCATCAACTATTTTGTGGTAACAATCAAATCAAACTAACAGAACAGGGATATAACAATAGCCAAATTGTTTCAGGCCTCCAATGCATTGTCCCTCACCAACACCTCCCATTAATCTAGTGCTATAAATGCATGAAAACAGGCCAGTCAACTCTCAAATACCACAGAACAGTTTTTCTACTGCTTATGGCATTTTTTGGCTCCTCTGAGTAGGTAAACTTTCTGGGAGAATTTTACAGACATCCCCAGAGTCTATCCAACCTGCAGATAAGAGTTACCACTGCTATTTAACTTACTACCACCACCTATTTAGCAGTCTAATCAAATGGTTGATCAGTGTCCATCAGTAGCTTGTAACATCCCTGCTTAGACCTCAGAAATAAAAGTTATGCTATATTGAGCTAAAAAAATTTCTTTAATGAACCCTTTACAGAAGTTAAATTGTCCTGCAGAGTATCACAAGCCAGTTTCCATAAAGATTCTGCTTTAAAATATCATATCACAGACTGCCTTGTGCCCAAGGTGCTGCAGATGGACTGGAAGAAGCACAGCACAACACCAGCAACATACAAACATCAATGTAAGCACATTGCCACTTCCCATGCAAGCCAAACCACAAAATACACAAAACGCATCTTAAATTTGCCTTTTGTGTAAAAGATATTTGTATTTCAACCCAAACTTATAAACCTTTTATTTCTAAATATAACTGCCATCTTACAGAAATAAACATAGACCAAGTATGGTATAAGATGATGCTTTTAAGTATTTAATTTTTCTCAGTAAGAGACTAACACAAGTAATACTTAAATATGCAAGAAGGTCTCCTAGATTAGAAAAATCAAATAACAAACCCACAAACAAATAAACGTTAATATCTGTTCTTTGGAGAACAAGGGTTAGAATACTGAATACATTTGCAATAAGTAAAACCTTTCCTTACTTGACAAAAAGCTATCTAACCCAGTAAGACTAAAATGACGTCACAGAATAATTGGACAAATGCAAGGAAATACACCATCAATCCTTTGTTGAAAATGAAAGCCTAAACTACAGATGCAAAAGCATCACATAAAGCAGAATAAACTAGCAATCATTCTGCTCTACATAACTGGTCACTAAGAGCAGTGAAGCCATTCATTGTACATAACCTGTTACCTCATGGAAGAATCAGAAGTGACTCTCATGTGTAACTTATGGCAATGACTGAATGACAGGGTTCTGGTCAGTTATTACAAAAGTACAATCCTTCACAAAAGACAAGTTATAGCTTGTTTAATATTGAATGAACTGTATGCTTCCAATCTACTTAATCTGCTGTGACAAAAAAAAAAAAAGTGGGTTTTTTGTTTTTCAGTAAGTTAGTTTCTGCTGAAACATAATTTAGCTAATAAAAAAAAAATAATTTGTTGACAAACTACATACTCTTTTACTGCCCCTCTTTTTCAGACAAGATACTTTCAATGCCACCTACTCCAGCTCTTATATACACTAGTCAGGTAACCAAGACCATCACCACAGAGACTCCACTCAGCTGACTCAGGAAGTTCTTCTGGTACTCTTCACAGTGTCTCTCTTGCTAAGTCATTCCTATTCATGCTAGTCAAAGAATGCTGGATATACTGAAAACGAGCCTTTCTTGGTAAAAAAATTACAGTGGATCTGGAAATACCTTTTTCCATCTAAATGAGCAGTAAAAGAACATACCAGTTGATATCACAGTCAGTCTAACGTGCAGAAAAGCAAAGTCTGGCAACACAAGGCTCCAAAGTTTATTTCATTAAGCATTATACAGTGTTATGTACAGGGGGGGAGAAAAAAGTAGCTATACTATATTCTAGAAATCCTATTTTAAGTTATAACCCAAAGATCTGCGCTACAGTTAAATGACATTAGGCTGTTTCTTTCTCTTATCAACTACTACAGTTATACCCACCTGTTACATTCACTGCTGGCCCAGTCTGGTACTGTGGAACTCCCGAGTTCTGTCTCACACCAAACAGTATACCAGATGTATTATCTGGTGCAGCTGGTGGAGAATCCATAATATAATCCTAATAAGATATTTTCAAGAGGGAAAAGAAATTTGAGGTTTAACATTTTTTTACTTGCAGGCTTCAAAGGGTTTATTTTAAAAACATGTGATTGCTTAAAAGTACTCATAAGTACTCAGCTGTAAATCAAGTTTATTACAATCTCCCCAAAATAGTTTAGTTTGACATTTTAATAAGTTTGCAATTCTTTATCATTGGTTGTTAGTTTATTCATAGCTGTGTATCAGAATAGTAAAAACAACTGTAAGACCTTGGAAAGTTCATCTTATGAAATACTGCAAAACCTAACTGAATTGCTATTTGTAATTGCTTTTGTTCAAAAGTCTGATGATGTTTCAAATTATACTTTGTTTTACAAAAAAAATAATCATGCTTTCTTCCTTCAACGCAAACTCAGGAACTTGCCTGTTACTCATCTGCAACAGCTAACTACATTTTAATAGATGAGAAAATAGAACTCAAAAGTAGCACAAACTTGCACTAAGCAGAAACTTCTCAAAACAATAAGATATTAAATAATTTCTACTAAGTGGTCAGGCTTTAATAAGTCTATCTATAGCATATTGACTAGTAATGACATTCACTCATGATATCACTAAGGGTTTTTTTCTTTTATGCAGAGTAGTTCATAGAACTTCTGGAAATAATACAATCAAACTCACTTTTCAAAGCACAAGCTACTCTAAAAGTTGTTTCATGTTCCTCAGCACCTTCTTACACTAAGTTTTGAGCACTTCCAAGAACAGGTATCCTTATACTCTTCAGTTTAAATGTTTGCCTTTTAGTACTACATATAACCCAAAAAATGAAACAGCCCACATGCATTTCTTGGCTCCAACACTGAACACTGTTAAAACTGAACACCTTCACTGATCACTCAATAGGTAACATGTGGAGGAAAAAGAAACATGAAACTTAGTTATCTTTACAGATATTCAAAGGATGAGGTAGGAGACTCATGCTTTCCAAGATTCATCAATACTGCTCACATTTTAATAGGCCATTCCTCCTAACACAAACAATATGGAAAAGGAAATATTTTCAGCAACAACAATAAGGACTTAAGAAAAACTTTACAATAGAGTTAGGTTTCATTTCAGCATTAAGGCATGAACAGGAAAATACTGGCACTTTATCCTTCTACTTTGAAATAATTCAACTTGTTACGCTTCATCAAGCTGTGCCGTGAAACAAGAAGTTGAAAAGAGTGGCTCCATTTTCATAAAAATAAGAAAAAAATCACCTGTGTATCTATGAGACAAAGGTCAAAACACTTTTTCCTATAGAGAGCAACCTCACAAAATGCTTCTCATTCACAACAGTAATATTTACTTGAAAATATCCATGTGGAAGTTAACACATTTTTAACTACCACCATGTTCACTAAACTTTATGGAAAAAAGGCTAAACAAGTGCACAAGTATGCATACAGGTATAATAATCTAGCTTAGGGGTCCTAAGTACCAGAAAATATTTTAATAAAAAGAAGCTTCTCCCCAACCTGTGTTTTGGTGTACAACTCTTAAATAAAGACCCTTCAGGACTTAATGACAATGAAGAACCATTCTTTCTTCAGGTGAGTGACCTAATCTAATCTAACCAACCGAAACATATATTCAAGAGTAGCTGTGGAAACGTTACTAAATTTCTCTGCTGTATTTGTTACAAGTAACAGCACACAAGCTGCAGCCACAATAGTGCAGGCTACTGTAGCCACAGCGGTATCAGACTAGCCAGGAAAGCAAACTCCAGTTCAGGAACAGCTAATGCTCAGGTGGTAAACCTGTTGTAGGTTCTTAGAATGGAGGACTATGCACAACACCTACATTTGAAACATGACCCATACAAAAGAATCATAAAATCATTACGGTTGGAAGGCACCTCAAAGATCATCAAGTTCCAACCCCTCTGCCATGAGCAGGGAACCCTCCCATGTGAAGAAAAATAACCCACCACCACTCTTAGTTTTCTATTTCAAAGACAAAACTGGAATATGAAAAAATTATTGATAAATGGTAAATTATAAACCTACATGTTATGAAACTGAGGAAATGTGTTTCAACCCAGTTACTGATCAAAAGCAATCAGTTCCCACAGAAAAATAAACCTGACATCCTGAGATTAAAATATATTGCACCATAATAGGAGGCAAGGCAACCTGAGGGATGTTCAGCTAAATAGAGGCCCCAACACAGTGTCTAGTCATACCTCACAGTCCCCTTTAATCACAATATTTTAAATTCAAAGGTAACTTTGTCCTGGTTTGAGCCAGGATGAAGCCAATTTTTCTTTTTACTGATTTTTTTTTCCTTCAGTAAGCTTTCTTTTAACTAGCAACAATGTGTTCTGCTAGGCTGATAAGACAGAGGAATGTTTTTCTAACTACTGAGGCTTCAAGGCCGCACCTGCACTCTGCCGGCTCAGACACTATGGGGAGATCTGTGACCCCCCCATAGGAGGCTGAGTTAGACAGACAGCAAAATTGGCCAAAGATACTCCATTCCATATATCTACGTAAGCTCAAAGGAAGGTCAGAGATCACGGAAGACAACTTCCTTCCTCCTTCTTCTTCCCTTCTCTTCCATCCATGGCCGGCATCCAGGGAGGACTCCGTTCATCCATCACTGTCGACCCTTAGGCTGACTCTCAGCACTCTGTGCTTTCTCCAGCAGCAGCTCCGGGATTCCTCAGGACTCTTCCCAGTTCAGGGAAGTGCTGTGGGACTTGCTGGGGGTGGGGGGAGGCGAGAGGCTTTTGCCCATACCTGAATATATCTGTATATAATTGTATATATTTTCTTGTATGATTCATTAGTGTTTTAATTAAAGCTGTGTAGTTTAGTTTTCAATCCAGCCAAGTCTCTCTCTTTTTCTCTCTCTCCTTCCCTACCTGGGTTGGGGGGAGGGGGGATCGAGAGCATTGTTGTCGGACCTGAGTCAAACGGTGACACAAACGGACACAGCAAATGGTAGCAGGCATGGTAAGATATTCAGGGGCTTTCCAATATTCCAGGAAGAAAGATAACTAGAAATTAAATTAGCATTTTTAAATGAAGGTACCAGTATCAGTATTTTTGGATAAAGGAGATTGAAGAAGAGTGCATCTCACAGAACAGAAATTTCTGATAGGAAGAAGTCAGCTATTTTTTTAGATTACCCAGGAGGAATGTGGATCAATAGACACAAAGATATATTATTGGGCTCATCTTTTGTAAACAGAACTTTTTTGAAAGATCATAGTTTCCACGTTTCCAGCCTTTATAAAATTAATATGCTTAATCCCAAATTACACTGAAATAGGCATGAGGAAGAATGCAGTGAGCATGAAAGGAAGCAGCAAGTCATTCACCCCACATCATGTAAAAACATGATGATGTTTTCAACATCAGTGGAGAAATCCTGGCCAAGCTCTAAATCATAAAAAAGTTCTCAGAGACTTCAGTGGAAACAGTAACTCAAAAAAAGTATGCACCAGTCTCCGTACGGACAATTTATTTCCTTTTGTTTTGAAGCTAACATAGGGGTGGGTTTGTTGTTTTGTTTGTTTTTTTTTCAGTCCTGGGCAAAGACACGAGGAGGAAATCTCTGTTCTATGGTAAAAGGTGCATGCAGGAACTTGTTGAAGAAGAAACAATGAAGTGGATTTCTATTTGCATTTCTGAACTTCTGCAATTTCACTGTTCAAATATTCTAGCACTAAAACACAAAGGATCATAGAAGTATTCCCATTTACAATTTTTGTCTTTTTTCACTGAGTAAAGCATCTTGCAGGACTTGTCTTATGGTTGATGAAAAAAAGACAAAATTCACTGCATGATAAATGTGCATATTTAATAGTGTTTATTACAACCCCTTCCAAAGGACGAAAAAGAAGACTTAAAAAAACACAGGGAGGGAAAGGAACTTGTCACACAGCTGTGTTCCAAACACTCGCCACTCAGTCTCTGCTCCAGCTTGGTAAGAATGACTGCAGCTGGGTAGATCCAAGAATTGCTTCCTTTTCCCATTCCCTTTCCCTCCTCTCTGGCTGGGAGGAGAACAGGGTAGCAACAAAAATTCCCCTGGTGAACTGTAACCCTTGTCTTGAAGCCAAATTATACAACTGAATCAACGTTCTTTGATCTCTCACTATCACTTTTCTACCTTTTTGTCCCACACAAATAATTCAGCTTTCCTCCCCAAATTTCTCCCATTTCCCTGGAAACATATCCATTTGCAGTTGGCTGTGGAGTTTTGACCTTGTCTTCAAGATCCCACCAGTATGATAAAAAGTGCACCAGCCTTGGCAAGGAAGAAGGACAAGGGCAAGTTGTACAGGTTTCCTTTCCCAGGCAACTCTAGACATACAAGAAATTTATAACTGAGAAGTTTAAACATGTTTTAAGGATATAAATATTCTGTATATAGTGTATAGTAATATGTCTTAACAGGAGCACTTGCAAAAACTTTGGCAAACAGCTAAATGGTATTAAAAAACAGTCTTTCCTCACTCAACATTGTAATATTTTCAGTTTCTTATTGTTAAATTAAATGATTGCATGAAATAACAAGAGTTGAAAGGATAAGGTTTACTGCAGAGCCTCCCCAGCCACGACTTGGTCTGTAGTTAATTAATTTTGACCAGCCATTTGGACTATTGTGCCACATCTCTAGTGTTTTCTAATCATATATAGTTAAAGTGCATTAAAACTACACTAAAGCTGCAGAGTCAGCATTCAAAAGGTTGAAAATGCCAGAATAAAATCTGTTTGAGCAATATCAATGCAGCCTCCTATGTGAATGCACTCAGGTAAAGTCTTAATTTTATAATCATGCATTTCTTCCCCTCCCTCTCCCATCCTGCCTTAGTGTGCACAGCAGAGCCAACAAGTAGCATTTCAAATTTTACTTCGTACTTTCTTTTTGAAGGCTGGCTAAACTGCAGAAGAATGGGCACATAGTCTGGCAGTGAATTTCACAAACATTTGCTGCCAGTGAAGAAACCAGCATTTCACTCCAGCA